CTCAGCGAAACCCTCCCCGCCGAGACCCGCACAACTGAGCTCGGTAGAAAAAAACTAAGTGTGTAGATAGATAGATTAGTAGGAAAATAAATAAAACTACTTTATGACTCAAAGTGCAATGAATGAGCGTTAGTTTCGGGATCATTTCAGTGTTAATGTTAGTTTTAATCCGTAATCAGCCCTGCTGGCCCCTCCCACATTAGTTGCAGGCAGTGGTTGTTAGATCATGCGGCACTGTAACTACTACTATTTTAGAGGTATGATTCGTCAAGTTTATACAACTCAATGTTTCAATTGAGGCAAACTATCTATCTTACAATTACAAAAGCAAACCTAAACTTACAATTATATGCAAATGCAAAATGAAACTTGACAAATCATCGTCAATCCTCTTATTCCAGGGCAGGGCCTGACGATTTGAATCTAATTTTTATCAGTGTACGTGCACCATATGGTAAATTTTCTCACCATGAACCTATCATTTCCAGCCTATCTGAACTATTTAATAAATGGAAGCCATAACATGGGTTACGCTCCCCCTAGGCTCCGCATCCTATCTCTGTCTTATCTCAAATACAAAATGCCAATGGTATGAATGTATCTATATATAACTTGGAAATGACGTACAATCAAATAAATCCGTAACCCATTCACTTGGCCAAGCTTCAGAATCGTCCAGCGGGCAGTGCGGTCTACACTCCAAGTTCCCTTTCTCTCAAATTTACCGAATATTTGAGTGTTGATTAATCACAATGAAACATTGTGACAGAGGTTGAGGTTACTAGTGTATTAAATAATCTAGGTCCTATTTAGGATTATATCTGAAAAATCCAAATCTGGCCAACGCCCACCCTAAACCTAAACCTGTTCTAATCCACCTGAAATGACTAACGAATGGAAGACTTTGACTACCCAGCCATGCAATAGCCTCATTCCGTGCCTTATGGCAACTTGATGATTATATTGCTTCTATTGCGCTCATCTTCTGGCACCACCCAGGGGAGACTTGGTCCTGTACCCAATGCTTAACTTATCTCCATTCCACTCAGCTACTCGCAATTTCTTGTGATATAGTGCGCGGAATATTATTATATGAGACAATTCAATGCAGACGTCTTTCCAAATTTGGCAGATCGACAGGTAATCGGTGAGTTACCACGACAGTTGCTATTCAACAACTCGACAACGTCCCATCGTCAACGCCTGCCATGAGAATTTCTCATTGCAGACGCCAACGAAACGACGTCATCGAGCTATCGACCAACTACCCTGGTTATCGCCTGGTACCTTATAGCACGATGCTAGGAGGCGAACCGGAAGAATCGATGAGCTACCTCACCCAACGAAGTTCCTCACGAAGTGTTACCGCAATTCTTCTCGCCTGCTGTATCACTGGCTTGATGCTGGTGTCGATCTCCAGATGCACGTCTCCCTCCAATCTACCGAGGCCTTCAAATACTGCCGGATATTCATTCAAAATCTGCCTAGCTGCATCCGGTGTTTGTTGTTTGCAGACGCTGTAGCAAACTTGAATCAACTTAAGCTGCATACACGTGTTCTTGGACAGGAGTGGAGGTTGGTCAAAATCAACAACGTGGAAAACTAGCTTGTATTGCCCACCGCTGTGAGTACACGCGGTGCCTTCCACCAAAGGCTTTAAGAACTGCTCGCTGAGTTGCAGTAGATTCGTTCCAAGAATTTTCATGGCGTTCTTCTTCCCGATGAGGTTGCATGATGCAGTTGACTTCGAACGGATGTTTCTCCAAATCGAAAAAAGTAATGATTCTCTTCAACATTGGATCTTCACTGTGCTTGATTCTGTACAGATATTGCACGATGATTACAGATTCGCTGCTGTCGTCGTTTACACTCTGCCTCTCACTGACAGTATGTACCTACTTTGCCCTCCGGCCCGACGACTTTGTGGTTGACCGCTGCTCGCTTTGATCCTCCTGCTTCTTCCGGCACACCACGGCGTAATGGTTTCTTTGCTTGGAGTAATTACAAACCACTCCACGGGCCGGACAGTCCGTCAGGTTTTGGTGATATGTCTTGCCACAAAATGAACATTTTTTTATTCGTTTCTTGATGCCACCTACCTTGTTTATGGATTGTGTTGATGGGCCCGGTTGGAGCAAATGTTGGCGCTCCATCTCTGCTTTAGTTGGTTCCTCTGTTCGACACTGGTTGATAACCATCGCTGGAGTAAGGTTTTGCTCTCGAATGAATCGCTTTTTCAAGTTCACGTCGAGGATTCCGGTGATAATTTTGTCTCGAAGCATTTCGTCCTCCAATGCACCGAAATTGCAATCTTTGACGAGCTCCCATGCTCTGTTGATAAAGTGCGACATACACCGGCGTCACTGTAGGACTGCTGTTGACATTGGTGAAATTCGTATTGTGCCAATTTCATATCTCTCTGTGGAACCATGTACCGTGACAAAGACGCAAGACAGGCTGCTACCGTATTTTGCTCTTCCTGCCTTGAAAGTTGCAATTTTTAGGCTGTGAACCATTTGCCGAGTTAAATTCAACTCGTGGTTAAAAGTGACATTTCGAAAGTTATTTTCTATGTTCGAAAATCCCCGTGCTGTCGATCGACCGGTTTTCGAGCCAAGGTTGTCAAAATTTAACTTCTTGTCGGTCAGAAATAAACATGCTTGGATAGCAGGGTTAATCGATAACTTTTCATCTGGCAAATTTTACCCAAATGTTAAAATAATCCACCAAATGGTTCAGAGCCTTAGGCTGTAGGATGATTGGTGTAAGCATTTCCATAACAGTTATGCTCCCCCTGAGTGGGCCCTCCACATTCTATTTCTACTGTCTTATCTTAAATACCAAATGCCAATTCTTCAATACACGACGTGTAAATATTTACATGATTGACAAATCTCAGGTAATCATGACATTTTGATCTTTGAAAACAATGCGCATGAGAAAAAGAGACCTACTGAGTCAGGATCTGTCATGATTACCTGAGTTTTGTCAAAAAATCGTAAATATTTACGCTGTGTGCAGCGAAGAATGGGTTGAATGTATCAATATACAAATTGGAAATGACTTTCAATCATATAAACCCATAACCCACTCAATTGGCCAGGCTTCAGAATCGTCCAGTGGGCAATGCTCCAAGTTCCCTTTCTTTCAAATTCACAACAAATTTGATATTTTACCCATTGAGTGTTGATTAATCACAATGAAACAATGTGACAGAGCACAGACTTGAGGTTACTAGAGTATTATATAATTTAGGTCCTATTTAGGATTATATCTGAAAAATCCAAATCTGGCCAACGCCCACCTATTGTATTATTGTGTTAGAGTAGAAGAATTCAAATATATGAAATTCTTACGGAACACAAATGTGATCAACCAGAGTTAGAAGATGCTAAGTTAGGCAAAACTTACATTATCGGCATAGAATAATATGTAATATTTTTTCTCTTTTCTTGAAATACATTTCCATGAATGAATGAGTGCACAAGCAGATAAAATCCCTTAAAAAACATAACATATTAAATTCAATGTAAGTAATCATACAGATTTAATTAGACACGTAAGGTTCATGTGATTTTGTGGTGTGATTTCCAATTATGAGATCACATGGAAGTTATGTGAAATGCACATGAATATTTTCCACTAGTTGTGATTTATTTTATGATTGTAAATGCAGCAAAACAATTAACCTCTCCAATTCCATAAATTGAATCAATTCACAGCACAATACAAAACAGTATCAAATTCAACCACTCCGGCAACTGGATCACACTGCATCCGAACTAATCAAATTTCAAAGGAAAATTTCTTGAAATAGCATCAAATGCAGGCCGAAATTGGTTCTCCGTCAACGGAAAAGGTGTCGTTTCTTTTCTTATTCCAAAGTGGGTGCCACCACAAATCGATAAAAATCAACACATTCAACAAGACACTCGAGATTCTTTCTTATTGTCCCATTCAACCAAGTGGTATTTCACCACAAAATACGCGCATTACGAAGGGAAACACTCCCCTGCAACCTACTTCTCTCACTCTCTATCGCTCGAACCGTGTTCCATTTTCCTCCACAAGCGACTAGTCCCATTGTTTGTGCTTCCATCCATCAGCTCGAGAATTGGTGTTATGTTCGGTAGCTACCGGTAGGTAGAAGGTTTTCCCATTCTCTTCACCGCTGTTGGCTGTTGGTTGTGCACAATAATTGACATCTAATTGGTGTGTCACCCTGCCACCGTTCAAGCATCCAAGGCATCCAAGTAAGCCAGCCTCAGCGGCATGCTGGCTGGGTGCACTAAATAAATGTGCTTTTAATGTGTTGCGAAGCAACGGACCCTCGAGAGACAGAGAGGGTGACTTGGATTGCAAAAATTATACACACACAATCTTTTTCTTTTGCTGTGTGACCCTCTCTCATCCTACTACTGGTGTTGATGATTGTTGATGGTGACGAATTAGGTTGGTGTTTCTATTATTCCATTGTGTGACATAATGACAAGCGAAAATAAACACATTGCTTGTCAGAAAACATGAGTGGTTTTTAATTGGATGCTTCTTCAGCTCGGTTGTGAAGTAGTCATTGTTATTTGATGGAGCTTTTAATAAACTGTCTAGGGTTTTGCTGTGGATTGAATGAAATGTTGGGCATTTTTTTTTCTGATACAAGGTCGATTGCTATCCATACAAATCATATAAACAGAGTCGAGCAATTTTGCAATAGGTAAAATCAGGAATAGGAACAGGTGGCGCCATCTTCGAACCGATTGAGCACGAAAGCTCGGAATCGATCCAGCAAAGCTCGCCATGAAGACCTTCCGTCATTTGATTCAGCAGAAACTGCATCCGCCGCACGCTTGCTACGATGGTTCCACCATCCATAGGAGAAAGCTAGGGCGCTAGCAGACGCGTGACTTGCGCAGAATGCACGTGGCAGCGGGAGTAGCGAGCAGGGGTGGAGATTTCTTCGCAACCAGTCTGCTGGTCAGAAGCTGCAAGGATTCCGTGACGATAGGATGCAATTTTCTGTTGTTTGCCAAAATTCTAAATTGGAGGAAATTTGCTGAAAAAAGTGTACTTTTGTGTTGATTGAATTGGTTGAAATTGGTGCCACAATTGTGCTGTTCGGTTCTAGTTCGCGGAAAAAGCCAATCGGTTGCCTGTTTTGAGATGGAAGCTAAGAATTGGTGTCTCTCTTTTCAGATTGGACCAACCCAGACACGCCATGATGCACTTCCGTCTACATTCAACATGGATGCACCCATTTTTCCTATAACTTTTTTTTTAAATTTTCTCTAATTTCAGCGATTCGAAGAAACGCAGTTTTGGCGAATATTTTATCTATATCTAAGTGACTCAGATGCAAGCCTTTATATATTTTAATCGTTAGGCACTTATTTTAGATGATTTTTCATTTACTAACATGATCTTTCTCCCCCACCCTCCAGAAGACATCGCTCCAAAATCGGTGGTTCACCCTCTGTTTGGCGGAGGTGCCTGCCGTTGGCCTGGCTGTGAGCGGATTTTCGACGATTTTGACGAATTCTACAATCACCTTCAGTCGGATCATATCAACGGAGACTACTCGGCCGCGCAGGCTCGCATCCAGATGGAGGTAGTCTGCCAGTTGCACTTGCAGCTGCAGAAGGAACGCGATCGATTGCAGGCGATGATCCTTCATCTGAACAAGAAGAACGAGATGGCAGCACGGATTCCGATGGCCGGTGCCAATCCGTACGTACCGCAGATTCCACCGCCACCGCCACCGTACGATTTGATCGCAGGGCTGCGTTTTCCTCCGGCTGGGCCAGCCGATGGAGCGATGGTTGAAGCGGCGCTGCAGCTGACTAGCAAGCAACAGCAAGCCTTGCATCACCATCAGCAACAGCAGCACCACCATCAACAACAACAACAACAACAACAACATCAGCAGGCTGGCCGAGCGTCGAAGGGATCGATCCGGGCCAAGTACTTTCCACCATCGCAGGACGCCGATGCCGGTGGTTTCAAGGAGGTCCACTTCCCCGATGTGCAGGATGGTGAGTGTATGGGTGTGTGAATGTCCAGTGAACTAGTGTTGATTTATTTGAAGCCCGATTTGCGTTTGCAGATGTTCAGAAGAATCGGGAATTCTACCGCAGCCACGACGTGCGTCCACCGTTTACTTATGCATCGTTGATTAGACAGGTAGGTGCACAACGACGTAAATTTCCACGATCCAGGACTCATCCAAACATTCGATCCTTTTCAGTCAATAATTGAATCGCCGGAGAAACAGTTGACTCTGAACGAAATTTACAACTGGTTCCAGAATACATTTTGCTACTTCCGACGAAATGCAGCGACATGGAAGGTAAGGAAGGTAACTCCTCAAACTAGCTAAAACCTTTTAAATCTCATATTCTGCACTCGATTCGGGGCACCTTTGCCACCGGTAAAGAACCTAATAATTCTTTGCAGCCCATTTTTGCCCAAAAAAAAAAGCCTTATATCCAGATCACTGAGCTCGGATTCCCCTGGTCAGGAAAATTCGAGTTCAGCGATCGCACCCGTTGTCAAGCAATCCAAGTAACCCGATCGCCTTCCCTCTACCACGCCAAAAAAAAAAAAAAAAAACGAAGAACGCCGTCCGCCATAACCTGTCGCTGCACAAGTGCTTCATGCGGGTCGAGAACATCAAGGGAGCCGTCTGGACCGTAAACGAGGCAGAGTTTTGCAAGCGTCGCCCGCAGAAGCTGGGAATAATGCAGTTTAAATTTCAGAATGCCACCACCAGCGCCGGGATGCTGCAGTCAGGCGGCGGCGGTGGGAAGAAGAAAGCATCGCTGGGGGGAGTTGTCGGTCCGCCGCACCCTCCTCCTCCTCCTCATCATCCTCCCTCGTCGTCGGTTGCCGCCTCGACGATGGCTCTGAAGCATCCGCCGGTCGGGTTCTACTATAAACGGTTCGTAGTAGGCGTTTCCGCGTTGCCATGGCTTTAAACTTTGAACATCGTTTGCCTCATCTTCGTGTAGCGTGTTTTATCCAGTCCTTCTACTTTGAAACTTTCCTTCACATAATAAGTGCGATCAATATTGGATATGTTTTATACGGTTGTTTTTGAATAATCCTTTTGAATTCTGTTTTTTCTTCTATCTTATATGAATAACCACTGCCTGTAACATAGGGTTTGATTTTTCAAATGACAACTGGGATTTCCGCAGTTGATTTTCGGTACACCAATGGACGACTTATTCCAACTTCTTTTTTTTTTAGCACGGACTGATTTATAAACCATGACTTCAATCACCGATTTCTCGTGAATTAAAGCTCTATCTTGCAAACTAACAACACAATCAGGTTGGTTGTAGTTTGATTAAAAATTCGAGCTTTTATCTGCGAGAAATCGGTGATTGAAGTCATTGTTTGCGAAACCGGTTGCGCTCAAATCTCGAAAAGTGAGGATGTTTATGCAGAAAATCGGTTCACACTGTTTAAATCTAGCTGCTTAGGGTGCAAATGGCTTTGACATATTTTCGAAAAATTTAAACTCAGTTTTTTTCGGCGGATCTTTTTATAATGCAAAAGGATCAATAGCAAAAGGAATCAAATGCAAGATTAAATGATGCGTCGAGAAACATGGGTTTGAATTTTTGGACATCGCACCAAAGTATCTTGCATCTTAATATTTGAACAAATCAAACCTATTTCTAACCTTTTTATACTATGAAAGCTTACATACTGGAAATTGTTGAAAGCCTGCTTAGTAATAGAAGTTTAGAATGGTTACACACAATCTTGAATGGTTTGATTGAACTTATTTTCAATATGATCCGGCTTAAGTAACGAAGCGAGCTATCGAATCTTATCAATTTATAGAATATCAAACCCTTCAAATTATTTGTAATTTTGGTACGATTGATGATTACTACATTAGGGTTCTTCATTTGTGGCGAAGAAGATACTTGATTGGTGTTAACATCAGACTCAAAGGGGAAACCTAATGCCCCGAAGAAAAAAAAACGTTTTGGTTTTTTCTAAATATAGAGCAGTTCCACGCGAAATGACGAATCGAACTTCTCCGATTTTGCTCCACCAGGCGTACATATTCAAATCGACGTATCTGAATTTGTAAACAAGCTACCAGTTGCCACAAATCGTCTATTGAAGTGAATGTTTACGTCGATTTGAATAGTTACGCTTGAATTGATTCTAATTCAGGTCCTAATCATTCTCCCAAAATTTGAGTTTGTTCTCGTCGTCGTCTTAGCACTACGCTTTTATCATTTACGGAAAAGTTTTCTATCTGCTCTTATGTGAAAATTAATCAGCTACAACTTTGCTCAGATCGCTTTTTGATCAGACTTCAAGGTTATTAGTTATTAATTGATTTCCAAGCCGATATCCTTCTGCTTTGATTAATCGACTGCTTTCAGGGCAACACTGCATCTTGCACTGATAACATAGGAGCCTGGATTGTTTGCCCTATTCTTCACGCCAAGCACACCAATGTTGCCTGCTGAGCAGTTTATGGAGCATGTCAGAAGAATGTCATCTTCCTCATTAATCAATAACTAATTATCCTGAATTGCAGCTGAGAAAATTTTCCATTAGTAAAGATAGCAAAGATTTTCGCAGATCATAACAGCGAAAGGCCTTTTCCGTAGTAGTTCCAATGGGTAATGGGTAAGTTGCATGAACTTCGGGTCACTTATGGAAATTTCAGGACAGTTCAATGGTTAGTTTCGGGAACTTCCTGGCAGTTCCATCAATTTCAGTAAAATAGCGGGAACCATCAAGAAGTTCCGAAAATTTAATGATAGTTCAAAACACTCTAGGGGAATTTTAATAACTTTGAATTAATAATAAAGCTTACTGGAAAAATATAAAAAAAAATCAAATCTCACCAAAGAATAAGATCACGCTTGATTTTCGTAGACAAAAATCAATTAGCAAACAACTGCATGCGGTTGATATTGCAAGCTGTGATGTTGCAGCACGGAATATCAGGCTAACAAAACTCACCAGATGTAAATCTAACCAAACTGTGGTGAGATTGAGTTTCATGAATTTTGCTTTATAGCCGAACGCAAACCGTACCTTCCATATCGGCTGGGAGCAGTCGCTTCTTGTCTGCCATCGGTGAAGAGAAAAAACTACAAGGGACAGCCCTATGGGCTGAAAGTACTCATTAATGAGTAAAAAAAGACCCATTTTGAAGAAAAGTGGCTTAACTCATTAATGATTAACAATTACTCATTAATGGGTAACAGATACTCATTAATGGGTAAAAAATTTACTCATTTAATGAGTTAAGCCACTTTTCTTCAAAATGGGTCTTTTTCAACCATTAATGGGTACTTTCAAGTTAGCGTGTATATGATAAATCTTATTTGTCAACTGCAGCAGGAGCTTGTGTTTTGTGTAGGAATAGGAATTTGAGCGGGGTTCTCTCTGTTTATGATCTTTAGTATGACGCGCTAGACATAGATGACTCACAGCGACTCACGTTGGGAAATACATATTACGAACGGCTTGAAAATAGAATCATAATGAGCATCTGCAACATTGATCAACATGGTTTTTTGCAACAATCAGGACTTATTTTGGAGCAGGATTTCATAGACATAGATTGTTAATAAACTGTTATTTAAAACGCTGGCTTGAGGAACACGCCAAAAACTTTAGCTGAAATTGTTGGAATTCCTTGAAATTGTAGAAATTTCCTTGAAATTGTTGGAATTCCTTGAAATTTGGTGGACTTCCTTACAATTCGTGAAATTTCCATAAAATTCGTTGGAAATTCTTTGAAGTACATAGGAATTTTATTGAAATTCGTAGGAATTTACTTGAAATTCGTAGGATTTTTTTGAAATTCATAGGAATTTCATTGTAATTCATAGGAATGTCATTGAAATTCGTAAAATTTGTTGGAATATCCATAATTTTCGTTAAAATTTCCTTGAAATTCGTTGGAGTTTCCTAGAAATGTCCTTTGAATTCGTTGGAATCTCCTTGAAATTCGATGGAATTTCCATAAAATTTGATGGAATTTCCTTGAAAATTGTATTAATTGTTATAAATTTCGTTGGAAATTGCTTGAAATTTTATGACATTGCATTAAAATTCTTATGAATTTCCTTTGAGTTCGTCGGAATTTCAATTAAATTTGATGGAACTTTGAATTTCTGGAAATTCTTAAGAATTTTCTATAAATTTTGTAGAATTTCTTTGAAATTCGGTGGAATTTTCTATAAATTTGTATGATTTTTTTTGAAATTCGTATGAATTTTCTTGAAATTTTTGTTGGGATGCCCTTGAAATAGTTGGAATTTGTTTGGATATGTTAGAATTTCATTGAATTCACTGGGGTTTTTTTTTAATTTGAAAGATTCATAGAAATTTCCTTACAATTCTTCGGACTTTCGTGAAATTCTTTGAAATTTCCTTGAAAATCGTTAAAATTTCTTTGAAATTCCTTAAAATTTTATAGATTTTTCCTGAAATTCGTAGCAATTTGCATTTTGTGGAATATATTTGAAATTCGGTGGAATTTTCTTGAAAGTCGTATGAATTTTCTTGAGATTGATGTAATTTCCTTTAAATTGTTGGAATTTCATTAAATTCGTTGGAATTTCGTTGAATTCGTTGGAGTTTTCTTTAATTTCCTTTATATTCGTAAAAATTTCCATGAAGTTGAAATTTGTTGGAATTTCCATTAAACTGCTGGAATTTCCTTGAATTTCAAAAGAATTTCCTTTGAAATTGTTCGAATTTTTTTCTATAACTCGTTACAAATTGCTTGAAAATCCAAGAAATTTCCTTAAAATTCTTAAGAATTTCCTTGAGGTTCGTTGAAATTTCTTTGAAAATTGATGGAACTTCCATAAAATTCTATTGAATTTTGATGAAGTTCTTAGTCTTTAAAGTTTGAGGAATTTCCTCGAAATTCAATGAAGTTTTCTAGAAATTCGTATGAATTTTCTTAAAATTTTTGTTGGGATGCCCTTGAAGTTGTTGGAATTTGGTTGAATATGTTAGAATTTCATTGAATTCATTGGGTTTTTTTTTTTTTTTTTCTAAATTTGAAAGATTCATAGAAATTTCCTTCAAATTCTTCGGACTTTCGTGAAATTCTTAGGAATTTCCTTGAAGTTCTTTGGAATTTCCTTGTAGATCGTTAACATTTCTTTGAAATTCCTTAGAATTTGATAGAATTTTCCTGAAATTCGTAGCAATTTGCATAAAATTTTGTGGAATATATTTGAAATTCGATGGAATTTTCTTGAAAGTCGTATGAATTTTCATGAGATTGAATTAATTTCATTAAATTCGTTGGAATTTCGTTGAATTCGTTGGAGTTTTTTTAATTTCCTTTAAATT